TTAAATAATCCTGAATGTTTGCCGTATTCACCATTTTAGACATGGCCATGCCGTGTCCCGTATCGGGGATGAACTATATCTATTTGGCGGCTGCAGCGCAAAGTCGGAGGTAAGATACAGAGTTTGTTTGAAGTTGTCTCTATGACAGCCAGTCTAAATAACGTTGTAAATGCCTAGCATGTACATACTACCTTGGAATGTAATTCGTTAATTTAGTGACATACACAGGTTCAAAGTACAACTTAAATGGGATGTTTTATTATTTGATATGTACCCAGTATATATGGCTATGAAATAAACTTTAACTTTATTGACATTATTCATTTTGAATAGAACATAGTCCAATTTATAACTAGATAACAATTCCTAAATACATAAAAAAAACATACTAAAACAGATTAACAAAAGGGCTTGGAAAAATTAGGGAATTGATAATTATTGTATCACATTACCATACTTTCTTTTATAAAAATGCCAAGCTGTATTAATGTGGAAGTGTTGCATGTATTAACATTATTTATATACTCCTCCATTTTAAATTCTGTTTTGAATAATTTATATGTTCTTAGTTTATTCTGTTCCTTTGTCCCATCTGTATTTATATTTGTTTTCGAATTTGAATCATAGTCAGTCTCTAAACGTTTACAAATTTCTTGAATGTTATTTTCATTCCCACTCCAAAAGTTACCCACTTCTTTTTTACCAGCAATGTTATCATGTGGTTTCCAGTTTCCATGTTTATATGTCCTAGACACACTAATATATTATATCTTATATTTACTTTACTCATTAACTCTTTGGTCGTATTATGACGTCACCGTGGAACAGTTGCCTATCTCGTGACCCCGGTGATGCCAGTATGCTTAGTAACCATGGTAACCGCGGAATGCATCATCCAACTCTTCATGTGTTTATGTTTGTAGGTAATTCAAGGCGAAGAAAAGAAGTCGAAACAAAATGGGGATAATGTTATATTTTACAACGACTTATATAAAATAGAAAGTGAGTTTATGAATACTCAGAATAGAACGTGTTGGTGTCGATATATATTGAGTGTTATACCACGACTGATGCATTTGGTGTACTGGCAGTAGTAATATGAACATATGGCGAAGTGACTGACGTTATACCGCCACCAATACAAACGATATTTGCTGCAACCCGACTGGATATAAAAAAAATATGCGTATGAAATAACGAGTTGTGTAGTGTTGTAAGACTATTAAAACAACATGTCGCCACCACGTAAAGAGATGGCAATTAATATCAAATTATAAACATGTATCGAGTTCGCTCCTATGGTAACTGCCTCTATTGGGGATTACTGTCACAGATCGAATATATCGTGACACCTTTCATATTTTATAAAGGAAAGAATATTTATCAACCGCTGTATCATATTTAAGCATTACACATTATCACCATTATAAATGTAACTCTAACACACAATAGTTAATATATAGTAGATAGTTAATTTTAAGGCTGGTTACGTTTTGTATTTGATTTCCAAGTCATAGGTAATTTAAAATGTCGCATGTTCACCCGAAATCTCTCTCATTTGTTCAATAGTGCGCCGCCGAGCGATGGTTGCTTAAAGCGGGGGAGTCATCACCTACGCATGCGTCAGGTGACCATAGCGTGTCATTGTTTACAAACAGTCGTCTACCCATGAGTCTTTGCGTTCTTAACATGTGTTGTTATCATCGCTTGGGACTCATCGCGCATCGCGCGTGCACAGGTAATGACCCCCCTGCTTTAAAAAATCTTTTTTTCTTTTAATCACAGTTACTTCTTTGGAATGGCACAGGTTGACCCAAGTTGGGGACATTCCGTCAAAACGAGACGGACATTCGCTGTGGTAATTATACTTATAGATACATTGTTTTAATTATATTGTTGTCATTAGTTTCTCATTGGAACTCAATGCATATGTAGCTCGTATAAATACAACAGCGCCCTCAAAGAATGTTTCTAAACATCGTATATGAATAATAATAACTTTATTACACAACTGCACCATCAGTGGGTGCTGTATGGTAAGGATACAGATCAGAAAAAACAAACACGAATAAACAAAAACAACAAAAGTTTCATAATTACAAACAAATCAAAGGGTATATATAAAATACGTATTACAATTAGGTTTTATAAATTGTATTTTTTAAGTATTTTGCAAGTACAGTACTACTATTTATGATGCAAGTGAATATTAAATTTCGGTTAGTTGTACTGCACATTTCTATTTTACAATCTTCTAAGAGGGTATTTCTTTCTTGAGTGAAGAAGCAACAGTCAAGGATGAAATGTTTTTCATCTTCTACAGTACCTGTGTTGCATTTTTTACACAATCTGTAATTTGCCTCCATTCTTGGAAATTTCTCCTGCCCAATTCAATTTCCAAATTATGGTCACTAAGTCTAAACTTGGTAACCATTCTTCTCAAATTGAAGTCCTGAATTTCTGTTAAATATCCTTCAAATTCATATTCCATTTTAAACAAATTATACGTTCTTAGTTTTTTGGGACATGACTAAGTTGCTGATACCATGTTTGTATATATTTATTTTTTAATTTTTCTTCCAACAATTTTGTTAATTCAGCGATGTTTCCCACTTTATATATTTTATTTACTTCAGATAAGTCAGTATGTCCAAAAATTGTTTTAACATGTTTTATCCAGCTTGAGTTTGGGTGATGAACTA